GGTGACAGCAGGCTGCTGTGACAGCAAATCTTGTAATGCTTTGGGAGGAAAGCATGTTATACGGCCTTACTTAAACATATCACCATAATGATTGACAATTAGGAGGAGCACTTATTTAGAGGATCCACCGGGAAATAAAAGATCATCCTCTATACCGTTAAGGTCATGCCCTAAAAAGACTCAGCCAGATTATTGAGAAAGCAGTATTACTTGTTTTAATGAAACATGGCTGCAATGACATTATGTTTCCAAAGCCAATTAAACAGTCACATTTTGTCCATATTTTGGTTACTGCAACATTTATCCATCATTATTTTTAGACCCTTTCTGAAATAAATGAATGGGACACACTTCTTTAACTTTTATTCTACCTTATTCCCTTTTCGGACATTTGTTTAAGTGGAAATACAGCTAAAGGATTAAAAGAACAGTGTGGTGTCTTTAGCTTTTTCTTTTACAACTGAGATTGAAAGCCGATTAATATCATCTAGATAGACATACCTTTAGTCCGTTTCCAAGAGGTAGATAGATAAAGGTTAGGTGAGGACAAGCTGTGTTAAACATTTCAAGCTATCCTACTTTCCCTGTGTTGCAAGCTTTTCTATTTTAGGTTTTCTGAGTGTTATGCTTAGTGGTTTATGCTTCAATAATCAGCTGCCCCTTGTTTCAAGCTTGAGTTGTTTGGGATTTTTGATGGAGTTGTTCCACAGGGAGACATATACTAATCCTAATGTGACTGGATTCTTTGATATAAATGAAAAAAACGATATGAAGTTTATATGTCATTGTCTGTATAAATGTTATAGTAATTGTGGGTTTTTCATAATGCACATTAGTCGAAATTATTTTTAGAGTGGAATAATTGTGCAAAACAATACTTCATAAAGGTTTAAATTGTACAATCAGTCCTTACATGCCACCTGTATTTGGTTATCTTATGTCCTTTACCAAGTTACATAAAAGGTTTTATAGCCACGATCAATGGGATACGGTTATTTTATCTTGTGTATGAACACTTCTGTCAGAAATTGAAGAACTCATCAACGATGGCTGGTTTCCTGACATGATTTTATCTACCGTCAATATAATTCTTATAGGATATGGGTATAGTTTTATATGATTTTGCTGCATCTTACTCCTAAGGAACACTGATCATGCTCAACCTGGGAGAGGCTAGGACTCCACTGTAGACTGTCTTTGTCAACCAAGACAATTTCTTTTTTGGCCCTAGCAACAACTAATGGGATAATTAAGGTGAGGGTTTTAAACCAAAGAACCCTGTACCAGCTCTGCAGCAGGTTATTCAAAGTGTCTCACTGCCAATGGGACTTCTGTATTACACAGGTGAAATATGTACTGTAGGACAAAGACTCACCTAAGTTGTTTTTGTACCTTTGTTACCTTTGTGTCTTACTAAATTCTTCAGCAAGTTTGCCAGCTTGATAAAGTATATGACTATCATAATAGAGCATGAAGACATACAAACCATCCTCTGACTTTGTTTCCTTTCTCTAGGATAGCATTGCTAATTCCCCTGATGCACGCCCTCTATACTTTTGGGCCTTACTGGTCTTCCATAAACTCTTGCATGTCTGCATAAACATTACACTTCCCTTTCTTGGATCAACATCATTAAGGCTGGCTCATACTTAAAAACCCAACATGATTTCCTTCTTGTCTTTACAGTTTTTACATTACATTTCTACTCAACTGTTCCTCCCCTCAGTATTCGAGTGGGTGGGTCAGATTGTACACTCAGCACACCAAATATCATCTGGCTCTCATCAAAGGAAGCATATTTTTTTTTGAAAAGACTGTTTTACAGCAGACATTATTCATCATCCCGTTTTAAGTTTATGCTACTGTGTCTGATAGAGAATTGAGCTAATATTTCTTTAATATTGCTCTGAGGATTTGTAGCTTGTGTTTGACTATTAGATGTCTTTCTTGTTAGTATTACATGATGTTGCTGTTTCTTACTCCTAAAGAACACTGACCAGTACTCAACACTATAAACTCACCTGACTTTGAACATTGAGGTGTGATAAAAACAACAGACATCTTGCTATGGAAGCTGTTACTCAATGACAAGAGCCAATTTGGGAAGACTAGACAACTTCATCAGAGGGCTGCCAAGACTCTAGGTCTTGTTACTGATCTGCATTGGTCAGTATCTATCAAAAGTTGTAAAAAAGGAATTTATTGAGTAATGAGCCAGTGACAGGATCTCCGGCAGCCAAAGCTCATTGAAGCATGATAATGGCCTTTGTGCTTCATCCAGGAAAGGAACTATTTCCTCACGTTCTGAGAGAAAGGTCAACTGAGAGAAAGGTATCAAATTACTAACAGAGGATTGTATTGTGCTCCAATAAATCACAAGGATAAGCAGGGGTTCAAGGAACGGGATGCTTCTTTTTGTTTCCTTTGAATGCATAATGTATCCCCACAAAATATTTTTGCAGACATTATATTAAAAGAATAAAAATAATGAAGTAAAAT